TGCACCAACTACCCATGAAGATTGTAATCATTGTGCACTGCAAGCATGTACTAATAAAAATGAACACAGACTGTGGAGACATAGAAATTATGTTTGTAATATAGTAGCACAAGTTGCGTGATATAAACTACAGTTGCTGCTTTTCCTCATTCCCAACTTTTGGACTCTTCTTTCAAAGGACATCTAAAGGGACTGGGAAAGAGGCATTTGTCATGGTGTCACTTTTTCCAGGGTGTTTAGGCAAAATCATTCTTAGCCAATCCAGAAAGTTTAAAAAAACAGCCCATGAAAAGGTAAGTGTGTTGTTTGCACGATAATGTGACCAACAGTTCCAAGGTTTGCAAAACTGAGGTGTTTCCCAGGACATAAGGTTTCTCATTAAAAACAGAAAAGTATTACACAATCAAGACAGATTGATCACCCAATAAATAGTCAGACCAAAGAAATATTTCTTAAAAAGAATAAAGGCCAAGTTGCATGCATTTGAAAAATTATTCTAACCTTGGCAACAAGCCTGTTTTCTTCAGGAATAAAAGTAATTGCTACACTAATGTGTGTTTGTTCTTGAGTAATTAACCTAGCCCCAGCCAAAGCTAGTTGGAACACTGACCTAGATTCAGAATTCTTGAATTTGAAAATAATTCTTTTCTGAGTGGTGAAGCACTAATGCCAAACACAGTTAACTTCACTTGCTGTATTTTACTTTACTTTTTAGGATTTCTCATTTTGAAAATTTAAGAACCCTTTGTTAGGGGATCCCTGCTTTCTAAGATGTTAATAGAGATTTGGAAATTGTTAGCTTGTTGAGGTAATAATATCTTCTTTGCCCTTGTACCCAAAATTAGCACAAAGTTTACTCTGTGTTTGCAAGATGGATGTATATTTTTTCTTTCTTTCTATAGGAGCACAATGCCAAAAGTAGGAAAAGTTTGAATACCAGAAATGAGAATTATGATTAATACAGAACACAAAAAATTTATGGGTTTTGTGGAATGGTCTCATGGGGCTGTCAGACTTTATCTAAAACATTCTTGGCCCCTGTACACATTTTTCTAGCTAGACTTTCCATAACTTTAGCCAGATAAAGAGAAGCGTTATTCCAAAAGAGTTGAACTGATGTCCTAGAGTGCTGAACAGCAAAAGGAGAGACAAACAGAAGTATCATACACCAGTAGTGAGAGAAACAAATACTCCAAATAAAAATAAAAACGCATATCTTGGAGACCCAAAAGATAAAAGGAGAGATCAACAGAAGCATCTTCTACCTATAATCACAGGAACAAATGTTTTTTGACATATATACCACATGTCATTGATTTTTATTTTGTTTTGTTTTTTGTTTTTCTTCTGGTACCAGGAATTGAACTCACGACCTTGCGCTTGCCAAGCAGGCACTTTGCCACTGAGCTAAATCCCCAGCCCTTGTCATTGATTTTGAGATCCACAGTTTTTAACATCTCAAATTGGGATGCATCTTGTACCTGATGGCATCTTCAATCAGATGAACTAGAGTGATCCTTCTGGATTTTTCATTTTATATTTCTGTGTTTCTCAACAAGAAAGCCTAGATGTCATATGAAGCATCATAATATTGTAAAAAAGTCTTTGGATTCAGGGCCAGAAAACCTAGAATCTCTGGCTCTGACACTGTTGAGCTGTATGAGTGGTAGCAAATTGTTTTCCATTTCTAGGTCTGGATTCATTTTCACCTCTGAAGGATGGAAAAGTGGAATCAGCAGGTTCATCAGAACAACTTTAAGGGCATCTTGAGAGGCAAGGGGGCAACAGGTGGGTGGGGTTCCTAAAGCCCCTCACTCCTGCAATCTAGAACAATTCTGTTATGAGTTCTACAAAGTAGATTAGCTTTTAAGTTTTTATTGGAAGAAAAGTTTCTGTTATTAGTAAAACAAAATGATTTTAAAACCATCCAATAGCATTTATAACTACTGTTGTGGGTTTAAAGAGTTTATGTAATTGTCACAGGAGTTCTGTTCTTTTCACAGTGCCAATGGACATTACTGTTTGAGAGATAATATATCAGAGTGAGGAGCTGGGGATTTAGCTCAGCTGCACAGCGCCTGCCTGGCAAGCGCAAAGTTGTGAGTTCGGTTCCCGGTACCGGAAAAAAACCGAACCAAACAAACAAACAGAAAATATATCAGAGTGATTTGAAGCACAGACTGGATCAGATAGGAACCCATTCTTACTGTGTGACATTGGCCCAATAATTATAATGACAGGGACAATTTTGGTACCTTCTTTATAGGGTTATTTTGTGGTATCAAAAAGATGCTCATGGAAAAGAATCATATAATTCCTGTGAATTATGTGGAATTATTTCTGTTTCTTGGGTATTAATGAGAGTGAGGATCTTTGTTCCACTGCACCAGACAATCTGCATTATAAATTTGTCCTTCCAATACTATCTCATGGCAAGTATTGCAGATCTTTGGACCCATAGTCAACTCCTGGGAGATCTATGCCCTGAGAGATTCACCTTAACATGTTGGGGAGATCCTTATTAATGTAGCAAATCAAAGTAGTATGGAAGTGTTCTCAAGCTGGTAGGGAACATCAAAAATGATGACAACTATCACAAAGACAGATTGAGGCTTAATTTAAAAACTACTCAACATATCCCAAGTGAAGGCATACAAGTGGTAGGATGCATTCTCTGCCATTTAGGAGCTGGCAGCTTAGATAATCTGGGTGGGCACACAGGAAAACAAAACATTTCAGAGGTGTCATGCTGGAGCAGTCCTATATGTAGGTCTGGGAAGACTTCTCAGAGGGAATGACATTAGAAATGAACTTTGAGGGAAGGAGAGAATGATCACAGGTGGCAGGGTGGGAAGGGAAAGGACTTTCAACCAGGAGAATGGCAACATGCAGAGTATCCTTAGACATGATACATGAAATACAGCAATGATTAAAAACATCATCGTTACTATTGCTTAAGTGCTAGGTACTTGATAAAACACTTCACTGTGATTAATGTCTTGTAGTTCTTAGTCCTTAAATAACTGTACAAGACAAGTTTTATTACTTGCTCCCATTTTATAGATGAGAAAAAGGAAAGCATAGAGAGTGAAGTGTCTTGGCAGAGATGCTAAAGGTGTAGCTTGAGTTAGAACTCTAGGAGTCCATAGTCTTTCCCAATTACCCTCCTTGGTGAGGAGGCTGGTCCATCAGATTGGGGCCAAGTTATGGGAAATGAGGACCACTGTGCTTATGCTAATCAAGAGAAAGTCATCCTGTCCCTTCCTGTCAGGCAGAATTTGTCAACTGAGCCCCTGCTGACACTGTTGGCTAGATTATTTCTGGTTCTGCAGGGCTATTCTGTGCACTGTTTAGCAGCATCTCTGGTCTGTGCACACTAGGTGCCAGTAGTACTTCCTCTTGAGTAGAGTCAAACAAACATGTCTGCAGACAGTCCTAATTGTGCCCTGGAAGGCAGAAACTCCTCCAACTGCGAACTGCTGTTGTAGTTAGGTGCACACAAAGCACTAAGTTTGCTGCTCTGCACAGGCTGAACTGAAGCCAGCAGAAATTCCCTCTGCTGTGTACAGAATTGTCTCCAGAAAACTCTCGGCTTTGAAATTGTTATTCTCAGCAGCTGGGGTCTTGAGTTCCCCAAGGTGACTCACACAGTCCCGGTCTGTGGGAGTCAGTTGGTTATCTGTTCTGACAAGGCCCCTAGTGTGCTCGGGGGAGGCGGGCTCCGACTCATCAAAGCATATTGGCCATGCAATTACGTCTCTGCATTGTGCTTGCCAAAGCATGACAGTTGAAACACTTTGATCCAAGTCTTGTTTTGTTCTGACCAGCATCAGAAGTTCTGAACCTTAGACTGAGTAGTGAAATTGATTATATATTCTATTTGCTACCAGGCTGTGTCCCTATTCATCTTTCCGTTGTGTGGGCCTACCGCCACAGGAAACACTTATGTAACCTGCTTAACCACGCTTTCTGTGGTGAGGAGGCTTCGCAGCGTAACTTTGGATGGTACAGCCACATGATTGACATCCTTCTCTGAGAACTTCCAAAGAGAGACCCTGTGTAGACCTGAGATTAAAGAGGTTTTAAAGAGGTTGGGGCTGCACTACGGAAGTCAAAGTACCGAAGGATCAAGTAGGGAGGATCACTGAGGAAGGTCAACTCAAAATCAGAAGAACAGGAGGAAGGATTTTCCAAATAGAAGTACCAAAAATAGAGGCTAAAACTGGAATACTGAGCCACGCCCTTGGGTAGGGGAAATAAGAGAAAAGCGAAGGAATCAGGAGTGATGGAGCAGTGCAGACACTGCCACAAGGCACTTGCGGAACAAATGTTTACTGGGCACTAGCTGCGTTCTGGGTACTGTGCTGTGCATCTTCAGCACTAATGCACAATGCAGGCTTCACCATCTGGAAATTGAGGTGGAGGGGGTTTCTCTAATCCCTTCAAGGTCACAGGGCTGAACTATGGAAGCAAGGGTGAGAACTCAGGCCTGCTGACACCAAACTTTAGCAACTGAATCCCTGAAGTCTGCACCACTCTCTGAACAGTGCCTGCTTCTAAGGATAGGGCCTAGGAGTGGGCCGGCACACTTAGAAGCAGTGGGAGAAAGGAGGATGTGAAAATTGTTTTATTTGTCCTCCCAGGGGTGAAGCCAGGAGACAGCTGGTTTTTACACTTCCTAAGAAAGACACAACTAAGATGCTGCATCACCGAAGCCTTGACCCATTGCCTACTCCAGACGGTGTGTTCATTTGCTAGGACAGCTGTGACAAACCACCCTACACTGCATGGGGTAAGCAACAGAAATGGATTGTTTCACAGCTCTGGAGGTTGGAATTCCAGAACAAGATGTCTGCAGGGCTGGTTCCTTTTGAGGGCTGTGTTCCCATTTTTCCTACTTCTGTCAGTTTTGCTGGCAATCTTTGGCATTCCTTGGCTTGTAGACGCATCATCTGATCACTTGCATCTTCATCATGGTGCTCTCCTTGCGTGCATGTCTGTCTGTGTCTAAATTTCCAGGGACAACAGGCATACTGGATTAGGGCTCACCCACATGACACTGCCTTAGCTTGATCATCTGCAAAACAACATGTTCAAGTAATATCCCAATCACAGGTACTGGGGACTAGGGTGTCAACATTTTGTGGAGACATAGCTAGACCTATCACAGGGAGCACCCCAATATAGCATGCAGTGGTTATCAGTTTCATCTCTGGTCCCAAACTCCTCTGTGATCTGGGCTGGCCCTGTCAGGCTAGTGAAGCTGCTGTGAGAGACTAAATCAGGCCATACCACCTGTTTCCTAGGGTCTCTCTTGTCTCAACACCCTTCTTATCCTTTATGATCTTTTAGATATCAGTGAGTAGAAAAAACACAAGAGCACCTAGGTCTGGCAGCACTGGGAAGAAACAGAGGGAAGAAATCAGTGATAGTATTACTTATAATTCCTCTCTTCTCCATAAGGACATCTTGGCTCCTAATCCCCTTCTGAGCTTGAAGCTCCCTTTTCTTTTTGTTTTGTTTTTTTTTTTTCTCCGGTACCGGGAACCGAACTCATGACCTTGCGCTTGCCAGGCAGGCGATTTTGCCACTGAGCTAAATCCCCAGCCTGAAGTTCCCTTTTCTTTTTGGCCCATGTCATGGATATTTCTGTTTAAAAATAATTAGACATCACTTGATTGACTGTGGGACATCTGCTTTATTCCACATAGTGTGATGAGATATTTGGGTATCAACTGATCAGTTGGCTGTTTGCTCTTGCCTGAAACTTAACTGTTTGAAATTGGCTGAAACTTGGCTCTTAAATTAGGTTTTCATTTATTTACCTTACTAAGTATTGGAACTCAACGTAGTGAGAGAGTCTGAGGCCAAAGGCTCCATGCTTATTTAATCTAACCAGTATAGCTGGAATTTTTCAAATCCCCTGTTTCATTGTTGAGATTTTGCCTATTTGTTCTGTCCATTGTTGACAGTGGAGTATTAAAGTCCTTATACATTATGGCAGAATTGTCTATTTTTCTCTTTAATTTGGTAAGTTTTCTTTCTATTTTGGAGCTCTGTGTCAGGTTCATAAGTATTTACAAGAATTATGTCTTCCCAGTGGGTTAACTCTATCCCTATGAACTATTCTGCATTATCTCTAATACTACAGATTTTTGGCTCAAGGTCTAGTATATTTTAGTATAACCACTCCAAATCTGTTTGCATGGTAGCCCCAGTTTTAAACATTCAAACTATTTGTGTCTTTTCTGCATCTACTGAGTTGTTTTGATTGTTACATTCAATGGGTAACATTCAATTTTATTGAGAATTGTTGCATCTCAGTTTTCTAGTGACAGGGTAATGCTTGTCTCATGCAGTGGACTGAGATGTATTTCTACTCTTCCATGTTGTGGAAGTGTGTGTGCAAGACTGATGTTATTTATTTTGTAAAGGTTTGGTGCCATTAATCACTAAAGCCCTCTGAATCTGGAGTTCCCTCTTTCCCAAATGTTCTTGATTGAAACTTGATGGCTTTAAGAGATATACAACTATTTTGATTTTGTCTTTATATTTGTGTTAGGTTTAGAAACATTTTTGGTCCAGATTTAATCATTAGATTAATTTGTCCATTTCATTGAAGTTGTCAAATTTGTTTATGATATTCTACTGCTGACTGTTTAATGTCCAGAGAGTATTCAGGGGCATCCAATATTATTTTTAATATTTTTGTCTTTTTTCTAGCTTTTTGTCTAGTGAGAGTTTTATCGTTGGTGTTGATCTTTTAAACAACTACCGTATGGTTTTATTGATTTATCTTCATTGTTTGCTTTTCATTTTATTGATTTACACTTTTAATTACTTTTTTGTACTTTTGAATTTTAGTTCTTAGTTTTCTGATTTCTTAAGGTGGAAGATGAGATAACTGATTTTAGACATTTAGAGAATTGGCAATGTGAGCATTTAATGCTATAAAATTTCTGCCCAAGTACTGCTTTATTTGCACATCATAAATTTTGATATGGTGTGTTTCATTTATTTCAAATATTTTATAATTGTCTTTGTCAATTTTTTACAGGTTATTTTAAAAATTTCCCCAGACACTTAGGATTTTCTTGATATTTTTCTGTTTGTGAATTTTAGTTTCATTCTCTTATCAGAATTATCAGAAAAAATGGATTGTATGGTTTCCATTTTGAAATGTATTGACATTTGTGGTCAGTATAGTGTTTAGAGGCTGAGGTGTAGCTCAGAGACAGGCTGCTTGACCAGCATGTACAAGACTTTAGAATCTACCACCAGCAATAGGGGAAAAATTATCTAAATTCTGCTCTTTGGTTACTTGCATTATAGGTGTCAATTTGGAGGCATTCCTTTAAGTTTTCTATAATTCCATTGTGTTTACTTCATCAACTATTAGAGGAAGAATTTGAAATTTCCAACTGCAAGTGGGAACTGTCAATTTCTTTTTTCAGTTCTATAACTTTTACTTCATGTGTTTTGATACTGTTACTCTCTGTACATTAATCATTGGATTAATTTATCCATTAAGTAAGGATTATTAGGACTTGACAAAGTGAAACTTTTGTTATGATAAAATGTCCTTTATCACAAGGACTAGTAATAGTCTTAAAATCTTCTTTGTCTGATATGAATATAGTCACTCTAGTATTCTTATTAAAATATCCATTGTGTATAGTTTCTATTCTTTCCATTCACAATGCAAGAATCTTTCAAAAGATTCTGTTTACTCCAGGTTTTGTATTATTGTTATAATGCATGTTATAAAATGTATGATACATGGTTCTTATTTTTAAAAACAATTTCATTTAAAAGAATTAAAACACAAGGAAAAGCTTTTACCACTTTACATAGATAGCAATCAGTGAAACTGTTCTGAATTCTTTTGAGGAGATCCAAGTCTCAACATCATTTTCTTTTTGTCCAAAGAAGTTCCTTTCACATTTCTTTAGACATATCACAGACAAACTTTTAGTTTTTGCTTATCTGAAAACATTGTAAATTACTCTTCACTTTTGAAAGATATTTTCACTGGATATAGAATGACATTTTTCTCTCTCAGCACTTTAATGATGCTTTATTGTCTTTTATCTTCCACTGTTTGTGATATGAAATTGCAGTCATTCTTATCTCTGTTTCTCTAAGTGCAATGTGTCATTTTTAACTGTGGCTTCTTTTAAGATTTTTCTCTTTATCTTTAGTTTGCAGCAATTTGATCATGATGTGTTATGGTAAGGTTTTCTTTGTTTTTGTTTTGCTTTGTGCTTGAACTTTTTGGCTGTATGTGTTTGTGAATTTAAAAAATCGTATTTGAGTATAATTTTATCCATTATTTCTTTAAAAATTCTTGTCTGCCTTTAATCTCCTTTCTTTACACCTCCAGTTGCATTAGACTCCTTCACACTGTTCTTGTTATTGTGTCTCTGTCAATTTCTTACTGTCTCCTTTTTTCTTTGTGCTGAAGTTGGTGTAGATATTATTGCTGTTTTCAGATCACACTGATGTTTTTCTCCTGTGATGTTCAAGCTGTCATTATTTCCATGTTGTAAAGTTTTCAACACATTTTTTCAGTTATAGAAAATCCCTTTTATTTCTTCTTTGATTTCTTCCCTTACCATTTTCATATTTGTTCTAAACCTTGAATATCTTTCTCTTACCTACTTTTTTTTTCTTTTTTTTCTTTTTTCTTTTTCTATTTTAGAAATAAAAGGAGGAAAGTACTAACAGACCGACAACATTTTACAAAATAGCAAAGGATCAGTATCTCTTACCTACTTTAAAGTGGTTGGCTGGTAATTTCACTATCTCTGTCACTCTTGAGACAGAAGAGATTCCTGCCTGTGCTTGGATATATCCCACAGTTTATGGAAGACCTCTCTGTATCCGTTGGTAGTGCACTTGACTTCAAGTGACAGAAAACAGACTAGTTTTAATGTAAAGAAATTGGGGTTTGTCTCTTAAAAATGTCTTGAGGTGGTCAATTGGTACTTCCAATTCAGCAGCTTTGTCTTGGTTACTTTTCTGTCATAGCTGAGACAAAATACCCAATGCTAAAAATTAAGGAAGGAAAGATTTATATAGCTCACAATTTGTGGATGTTCCAGTCCATACTCAGCTGGCTCCAGGGCAGAGTGGCACATGGCAGAGGGCAACAGTTCATGGCAGCAGAAGACAGCAAAAGCAGCAAGAGCAAAAGAGGGGAGTGGCAAGAACAAGCCTCTTTCTTTCCTTTGTATTCTATGCAGGCTCCCAACCCCAGGGTGGATGTAACACTCACATTCATAATCCCAACATTGGACCATGAATCAATCGTAAACTGTAGACGCCTGCCCCATGACTGCATGAGGCTTTGGGGGGACATCCAGACACAAACCATGACAAGCTTCTAAATATAAAGGAAACTTTAATTCCTTTTGTTGTTTTTCTTATGAAGGTAACCCCATTTTTCCCCTAAGAAGTCTATAAACCTCCAATCTCAAAGTTGTATTCAAAGTAAAATTCATTTGTTTTCTCCTTTGAAATCAGAAATTCAACCAGTGCTTTTACATGTTACTGACAAGGGCTGGATATCAAGACTTTCCTTGGACTAACCACTTGCTGAGTTAAATTTGGTGGACTGGCTTAGATCCATGAGAAATCTTTCTGGTCTCCGGATGAATTAACTTCTTGAACAGGGGGATGTATAATGGGAGTGTTGCTGGTGCTCTACAGTGGCAAAATATCACCATTAAAATGCCATTTGATTTTCATGTTGGAGGAAATTTGTCTAGACTCTTGTGGGAGGGTAAAAAACAATGTGTGCAATCTAAAATGCTCTCAGATTCAAACAAGAATGGGTTCAAAGGCAAACTGTAAGAATTTTGTGAACGCTAGTATCTGTGACCTTTCAGAAACAGAGAGACAAATTAGTTACAGAGTTTTACACCGATAGAAGTGCCTGGCAGCACATATTATTGGGACTCACAGTAAATAGAAATAATGGGAACAGTTACTAATAGAGCTGGTAGACACTTATTTCCTGAAATCTTGTACTGTGAATTGTGCAACCCTGAATAACTCAGCTTCTCTAAGCCTCAA